TTTCGCTTTCATTTTCAGTGATTCAGATAGGTCCTCGGCTAAGTCAGAGACAAGAGACTGAGGGGGAAACTGAGCGGTCTAGTTCCCGAAAGCAAAAAAAAAAAAAAAAAAAAAAAAAACGAAAAAAAAAACGAAAAAAAAAACTGTGTGAGGGCAAAAAGCAGGCTGTTTTTGGTGTTCCTGCAAGTTGTGTTCAGTGTGTTGCTGGCGTGGTTTAACACTTGTGGTTCCACTACTTTGCACACAGGGTTATTTTCAGGCAGTGAGAGCAGCACAACTCAGTAACAGGAACCTCCAGTGGCTCCTTGTGTTTCCACGCTGCAGAGCACAATGCTGTGTTGCTTCCTACCTGCTATGCATCCTTGTCAATGCAGCTAGTTTATTTCTTCTTTTTATGCCTTTCTAAAGCTCTAGCATTTTACTTGTTAATTATTTTTCCAGTCACTGCTCCAGGGCGTGCTGTTTCTTTACCTGTAGTGTGAAGATTAGATCCGTATCAGGTTATAACCATTTTATTGAGACCTGTTTTGTTTGTCTACTGTGATCTGACACTTGCTTCCCAAAATGAGTAAATCAGGATGTGTGATGTTCATGACAAACACGATGTAAAGCAAAAGCTTTCTTCCTATTCCCAATTTAGTCACAACTTCCCCATATCCATGAGAAGTGGGTGTCAGCCCAGTGTTCATGGTTCCCTTCTGCTCCAGCTAGTTGATAATCTCAAAGCTTCACTGGTGTATTAGATGATAATAGATAAACACATTTTTTTCCACCCACTTTGTATCAACCATTTCCTGAAATTGTACACCTGCATCACTGTGAAAAGGCGTTATTCTTGGATCAGTTCTGTATTTTTTGGGGGGGTAGAGAATTCTTTCAAAAGCTAATGTGCACGTAATTTATGTACTTTTTACAATGTCTATCGACATTTAAAAACAGTGTAATTATCCATTACGCTGTGGCAGTTGAAGGTTTTGCGGCTAAAACCATAAATTAAATTAGCAGGATTGAAGTGGTATAGCCACTTATGGAGTTTTGCTTTCGAGTTCTGTGATATGCAAATGCAAATTCATAACTCAAAAAAATCCCTACAGCTAAGCTACACTAACACATAGTCATGTAAAAGTTTTGTTTCAATGAGAAAAAAACCCTCAGTGGTTAAAGTGAGAACCTCATAGACGTACACTTTGCAATAAATGAATTAATTAATTGTATCACTTTGAATAACCTAAACATGACTTGCTGAGAGTGTACATAAATTGGAACTGCTACACAGTTAGCTGTCACAGAAAGGTTAGCTTAAAAAGTAACAGAATCATTATTAGGAACGTCATAACCAACAGATAAACCAAAATATGTGGTAGTTGTTAATTGTTCAATTAGTTACCTAAATGTAAATAATAGAACTACATAGTGTTATCCAAAAGTAACAGATAAATGATCAAAAGTGCTAGCTAAAATTAAGGGACAAATGATTATAGTTAAAAGTAGCCAGGAGACCTTAAAGCTAATGCTAAATATAATGGTTAACAGTTTGATGGATAAAAACAAGGGAGAAATGTCTTATATAATTTTGATAAAACCCCACAAATAAATGGTTCTAATAGATCAAGTTTGAGCAGGCTAATTGCTAAATGCCTAGCTAATAGCTAGCGGATAGCAGCAATGTTAAGCTACTTAAACAAGGACAGTTGTTATTTTAACTGATATAATGTGAAACAGCTGATTCTTGAAAACTCAGAAAGATAGCAACAAGTAACAGATAAATGGTTGACATATTTGACTGAAGCTAATTTAAGTCACTGATCAAACTGAGGGTGAAACAGATTTTATAGTTTTTCTTTAATGTCCGTAAATAGTCGTTAAAATAAGTCGTAAACGTCTGTAAAAACAGAGAGCTCGTAACTGAAACTAAACACAATAACAGAACAATCCCCACTTACATGCCATGCTCATCTGTGGTGCATTGTAAAGACATTTTGAACGCTGTGTAGCCCCTAATTCCTACTTGGTTATGTAACATAAATGATGGCCAGTTTAGCATTCTAACCACACTTTTGTTTTTTATAGACAGCAAAACTGTTTCTTTCCTTTCTTTGCATGTTGGTGTGTCTTTTATCTTATCTCCCCAGCAAAATACAAGTCTGTCCAATAAACCCAGCAGTTTAACAGATAAGATTATTTCTCATGTGACATAAAATAAATAAATAAATAAAAAAAAAAAACACTTTTTTTTTTTCAAAAGTGTGGGTATGGACTGTCAGATTATGAGAAAAGGGATGATCACCAACATCTCGTGATCCTACTCAGTTCTCATGTTTCACTCTTCCCTCTGTGGAAAATGTACATTAGGGGATTTATGCCCCCTCAGTGACTCTCGGTGAAAACAACACTCCTGCATTAGAAAAAAAAAACTGTTTCAGTTACAGGCTGTTTTACAATTCCTTTCCCATGCTTCCCTTTCTGTCACTTCTCCATAATTCTTGGTATTTCAGTTAGACAGGCCCTCTTTGTGAAGCTTCCCCTTTTCCATGGATTCCTATATTTCATGATTTCCACTTCTTCCTCTTCAGTTGTACAAACAGAGGTAGAGGCATGGGGAAATCAGGCTGTCACTGTGACATGCAAACCACAGGTTGGTAGCTGCGGGACTTACATGATCTGTCAGTTCTCTTAAATATTTCTTAAGTCCATTGGTGGGAAAACGAAGCGGCTGAGAGTTAATCGCACAGGGCACTTCTATTTTCCTTGGAACACTGGACATCGAATACACACTACAGTGTGTATTGGATTTTTTAAAGCTTTTCTACAGATAAGATAAGAGCAGGCGCTGATCGCTCGGGTATAATTTTCTTTCAGCACTTTAAAAAGCTAGAAATGTACAAAATGACACGAAGACCTTTGCAAATGAATACGAGTGTGAAGAGGCCACATGGCTGTATATCTGTGTTGTTCGCTCGGTTGCTATGATAGATACCGCGCGTGTCCCTAGTTTCGCACTGCTTCCTGTGTCTCTGTTTCCTGTTTATCTTGCTGTCATTTGCTTCACCAAAGTGTGATGGTGTGAGATGATCGGCATGTTTCTTCATCTCCTCACTGACATCCTCAAAGAGTAGACATGCTGTCCACCTGTGTGCCCTTACGAAGAGCTTTGCCTTTTAATGTGAATTCAGAAAAAAAATGTCTGAAATAGGAGGGAAAGTTTCTGAAGGGCTGATGCAGCATCCCTCTTCACAAGAAAACGTGCACTAAAGGAAGTTGCTATTACAAAGCTGTTGGTGCCCTAGTTAGGGCAGTTGCAGTTTCTGTGTTACAGCTTACGGTGCTTATTCCAACAGGAGTAAACACAGAATGTGCAGAGCTCCACTGAAAAAAATATCTCTATATATATGAATAAATTCAAATAAAGCCAGGTATATTTTGTCACAAATGAAAAAATCAGTAAAGTTCAGTTTAATAGCTGGAAATCACAGTATGAGTTCAGCATCATGGTCCTTTATACAAAAAGCAAAAAACAAAAAAAAAGTAGGAATATTAAAACACAGTGTTGGGATAAACAGCTCTCTAACTTCTCATGCCACAGTATCAATATCACACTGATAAATTGCCCATCTTTAGCATTTAACATCATGCAAGAAACAAAAATGCTCGTATTCTAAACCGTGGCCCCCCCTTGCCCTCTTTTCCAGCCTGTAACATTAAAGTTGAGGCTCGCAGTGATGAGGAGAATGGGCTGGCCTGTGACATGAACGGTGTGGAGGAGGAGGAGTGCGCGGAAGACTTGCGCGTGATCGATGCCTCCGGGGCCAAGGTGAACGGCTCACAGCCGAGCCCCGAAGCCAAGGCCTTCTCCTCGGCCGGCGGTATCCGGCTGCCCAACGGGAAGCTCAAGTGCGATATCTGTGGGATAGTTTGCATTGGCCCCAATGTGTTGATGGTGCACAAGCGAAGCCACACTGGTAAGCCACGCCGTCTGCAACACTTCTTGCCCTTCCTTTGCACCCATGTTCACTGTTAGTATAAAGGAGATGGATTTAGGGGTAGAGAGGTGTGCGCTGTGGCTCCTCCGCCTGTTTAGCCAAACATAAATTCTTTTCAGAAACACACGCAATGTCACCACGCACACATACACACTCTCTGAGAGTAACTTCTTTTGCAGTCCTCCTCACACTCACTTGTAGCATACTTGCATCTGGCTGTGTGCGTGCAAAGCCTAATATCGCGCATGAAATAGACTTCAAGATGTAGCATTAGCATTCGTGATTGTTTATCTAACAGTCTCTGAATCGCCACGTGACAAGCAACTGATCAGGTTATTGTGTGATAAAGTAGCAGAGACAAACTTGGTCCAAAGAAAACATACCCTCAGTTGAGAAACAGGATATCTGCAGCAATTAAATGGGATCTCTGCAAAGTGACAATTATCTGGCTATTAAAAGTTTTTCAGAATTCAAAATTGATATTCTATTGTAATGGAGCCAAACCAGTGGTGGGGAACATTTGTGAAAAAGGCACTTAACTGTCAGGCTTTAGAAACTAATGAAACTCAAAATGGAAGAAAGGAACAGTAGACTAATGTAAATGCAAAAGAAAGTACAATAAAAGATATAATGAAGTGCCTCCTATTTAAATAGAAAATATTCTGTGGTGAGTCTTTGCTCCTGAAATGCATTTTTAATGAATTTCCTTTTTTATATATTTTTGCTGCTTCACTGGTGACTCTTATTTTACGGGGGTGGGGGGGGCTTTGAAAAAAAAAGAAAGCCATATTAAAACGTTCTCACAGAATGCCACAACACTCGGAGAGGATGGATATTGGTTTATTCCAGAAGCGCTGATCAGGAAGACTGGCTCTCAACACAAAGTGTTTCCTTCGCTTTATTCAAATGAGGCTGAATTTGCATTGTGATGTGCCGCTCTTATTTTAGAGACGAAGAAGAGGAAAAAATGAGATTTTCAGATCAAATTGACCTAGGCAATGGTGCATTACGGAGCTGGCAGGCTGAGTCTGAAAGGCTCTTGTTCGATCAGAGCGCCAGAAGTCTGTGGGGCAGGGGGAGCATGGAGAGATGGAGTGTCACTCTGCTGTGAAACCCTCCCCACAGGCTGCTGGATCGTTCTCCGCCCCGGAGACGCTGCATCATCCGGCTTGTAGTGCGGCGACCTCCCGCGTCCTCGCAGCTTTTCCATCCGCACAGAAAAGACAAAGACTTTTATCGCTGTCAGTGGAGGGAGGGAACAAACACAGTCAGATTAGTGCACTCAAGGAAAAGCTTAAAAATGAAACAAACCGTCTGATCCGATCCATAAAATCCGAAAATTAGAAGCCAATAAAACATACAAGTTATTCTGTCCCACCCCCCTGCCCTTTCTTTCCTTGTGTTTACATCTTTGCAGTAACGTGTGTCTGCTCTGTCTGTTCTCGTCCTCAGGAGAACGTCCATTCCAGTGTACCCAGTGCGGCGCCTCCTTCACCCAGAAGGGCAACCTGCTGCGTCACATCAAGCTCCACTCAGGGGAGAAGCCCTTCAAGTGTCACCTGTGCAGCTACGCCTGCCGCAGGAGGGACGCCCTCACCGGCCACCTACGCACACACTCAGGTGAGCATGCAAAGGTCACCCCCGCTGAAAACTTCTGCACTTTTATGTTGGATGATTTTTACAAAAGGCACAGCAACTTCTGCAGCACATGCAGCGTGAGCTCGGGACTATGTAAAGGGAAGTTGACAGGGTGTAGATATGGTGTCACTTTTTTTTTTTCAAATGCTTTGCAGAAGTACGTGTTAGTGTAATTTGGGTGTAAACAGAATTCTCCTTCTGAAGGGTTTGTCAGAAAAATGAAGGGATAACAATCACGATTGTGTCATTTTACAACGTAAATGTAACAGCACCTACAAAAAAATAAGTGAGAAAGATTAAAGCATCTGATATATGTTGGTTATTGAGCTGAATTGTAATCATATAAATTCAGCCTGGAGAGCTTTCAAACTGGAGACAACTGGACTTATAATATTAAAGACATAGAATACTGTTATCATAGTAATGTAACTCCTAATATATAAAAGGAATGTATTTAAATATAAATATATGTTAAAAAAAAAGGCTTATTATTTTCCTTAAAAAACCCAAAACGCTAGCCACTTATTTTTAGCATGCAAAAATAAAAAGTGCATGCATTAAACTAATTTCAGCTGTTTTTATGAGCATTCACAAAACCAGGATTGAGTCACACCAGTGTATGAATGGGTGGATGAGGGTCCTTAGGGACTAGTAAAGTGCTATACAAGTACAGGCCATTTACCATTTACAGGCCATTTGAGTTTGTTTTGTTTGTCTGTCCAGGTATAGGCAGAAAAATCCTCCCCTTCCTCAGAGTTTTTCATATTTTGGATTTAATTTTCAGCACTTTTTAATTTAGGTTTATGGCTTTTTTTTCTCTGTATTTAAAAATATAGCAAAAATCATCAGTATTTGTCGGCATATAAAAATAAAAAATGTTGCTCTCCATCATAAGGTTTCAGTTTGCACTGTGTTCAGTCTACACTAAGTTGCTACCTGAGTTACCCATAAATACAGAGGACATGAGCTCAGCACTATCTGCAGCAGCAGAGCTTATGGCATCCTAAGACATAAACTTCTACTTGTGAGTTCTTGCACAGGGCCTCCCAGAAATTGTTTTGGTTTTTTTTTGTCATTTACATCTTTGTAGGTGGTGCTCTTTTCTTCCCCTTTTACCACTGGTTGTGCCAGATCCCTAATCAGCCCTTATCTTGTACTTAATCTGATCAAAATGCATTCGTTACATCAATTCCTTCCTGTGTTCCTTCAAGAAGAAGGAACCAAATGGCCATTTAACTTACTTTAGTGTTAATTATTTAAAAAAAAGTTTTAATATCAGACTTTACATAAAATATTGCACTGCTCTGCTTTCACTGATGTAATTTTTTTTTTTTGCAGTTGGAAAACCCCACAAGTGTGCTTACTGTGGGCGGAGCTATAAGCAGCGCAGCTCTCTAGAAGAGCACAAAGAGAGGTGTCACAACTACCTCCAGTGCATGGGACTGCAAAACACCATCTACACAGGTTGGTGCCTCACGAGGCGTGCGCTTTAACTTTCACCCAGATCTAATGACCTACTTTATCCTGAGCACGGGACGCAGGAAACTGTGCACAGAACAGCAGCCTATCACAGTCACTGTCTTTGTTGCTAAAAAACAAGACAGGCTACATTTCCATTTAAATATAAGCTCGTGTAGGTATCCGAGCTAATTAAGTCAGTTTCTTTGTCTATATAAGTTTAGACACTTCATACGTAGTGTTCTGTGCAGCTCTACATTAAAACCTGGAAACAGATCATTATGAGCAAATGTTATATTCGTAAACCAAGTGCTTCACGTGTGTCAGAATAGTCCGCTCTGTGCTCTGTGAGAAAACCACCATCAGGCTTGTGCCAGCAGGACAAACTCCAGTTACTTTGACGCTAAAATCTACTTCTCTGTCTTGCTTTCCAGTAGTAAAGGAAGAAAGCAACCAGAATGAGCAGAGGGAAGACTTGAGCCAGACGGGATCTGACAGAGCCTTGGTGCTAGACAGACTAGCTAATAATGTAGCTAAACGTAAGAGCACTATGCCACAGAAGTTTGTGGGTAAGGGCTGAAATCTGCTTCTTTTGTGTCAATACAATTTCGCTGCTTTTTGCTGAAAGAAAAAAAAAGTGTAACTGTGACTGTTTGTGTTCATTGGGGTTGCATTTTTCTCTGCAAGCCTGGTTCTATGCAGTGCAGCCTGATCACAGACTGCACCTTTTATTTGCTTAATCGTCACTGGAAAAGACTACATTGAAATATTACCTTGATTCTGCATAGACATGTTACATATAAGCGATTCATATCCACACAAAAAACATAAAACAATCAAAAGAGGGAGAAAAATAGAACATCAAGAGGTAGACTGAAGTGACTCATTTTAAGATTCAGCGGCTCAGTGTCAAGATGGTGAGATGATAGGATGCAGGTGAAAGTATGTCAGCGTAGTACGAACCTCACCCTGCCCTTCTGTCTCTCCTTCTCTTCAGGTGACAAACGTCTGTCGGACCTCTCTTATGACGGAGGAGCAAGCGAGCTGATCCAGCCCCACGTCATCGACCAGGCCATCAACAGCGCCATCAGCTACCTAGGCGCCGAGTCGCTCCGGCCTCTGGTCCAGACCTCCCCGGCCTCCTCTTCCGATGTGGGCCTCGGCTCCATCTACCCCCTCCACAAGTCGGCGACGGAGGCCCACGCGGGGACGGGCTTGTCAGCCAAAGACAGTGCGGCCGAGAACCTGCTGCTGCTCTCCAACTCCAAGTCTGCCTCCAGCGAGAAGGACGGCTCGCCCAGCCACAGCGGCCAGGACTCCACGGACACCGAGAGCAACAACGAGGATCGCCCGACTGGAGCAGCCCCCGGCCTCATCTACCTGACCAACCACATCACCCAGGGGGTTAGGAACGGCGTGCTTCCCCTGGTGAAGGAGGAACAGCAGAGGCAGTTCGACGCCATCCGGGCCATGGAGATGGCCTCCGAGGGCTTCAAAGTAGTGACAGCGGACGGGGAGCAGGTGAGGGCGTACAGGTGCGAACACTGCCGCGTCCTCTTCCTGGACCACGTCATGTACACCATTCACATGGGCTGCCACGGCTTCAGAGACCCCTTCGAGTGCAACCTCTGCGGTCACCGGAGTCAAGATCGATACGAGTTCTCCTCTCACATAACACGAGGAGAGCATCGCTACTGAGCCACGTCGACCAGAGAACACACATACACACTTTCACAGGATAGAACAGACACACACAGACACACACACACACACACAGACACACACATGTAATAAATTAATATAAATACATCATGTAAAATACATTGTTAATGTCTGTGTGTTTTTTATAAGGTATGCATGTTTGTTGACACACAAATAAATATACAACTATTAAAAACATTGATTTTCATCTCTGATACGAACTATTCTGTTTTTTTAGGTTTTTTTTAAGAAAACAAAGTAAATAAGTACTGTTCTTCATTCCTCACAGGAACGAAGAACAGTACTTCTTAAATACACATCACCTGTGTATGTAAATATATAATAAAAAAAAGGTCTTATTTTTCCTCCTTTTTTTCAAGATTTAAAGTAATAGGATTTACATCCTTTTTGCTTTGACACCTTTCTGTATTGAATAACAGAAAAAAATGTCAATTCCTTCTGCGGCTGTTTCCAGTGCAGGCAAACCCAGTGTAACATAAATACAATCAGTAACGTAACAATCAGTGTAGATAGACCCACAGCTCCCCTGTAAGGTTTTAACCTGCTCTTGTGTTTGTAATAACCTTCACGTTATTTATACATTTACATGCCTGTCTGTTTTTTGTATTTATTACAGTGATCGATGTTTGTCTCTTAGAGTAGTCAAAGCTGCATTTTTTTTTTCTTTTTCAGTTCGGCTGTACTAAATGTGTATGATGTTATCGGATCCATGACTGCTGCTGGAAGCTATTTTTAGTGTTATCAGAGGGAAATGTTATCCTGGACTTTTCTGTTTTATACCTGATGGCTAAGAATTGTTTGACCCGTGAGACGAAAACGAAGTTGACCTCAGTTGAAGGGAGCTTAATGCTTGCAAAAATATCAATAAAGGATATTTTATATATGCAAATAGTGTGGGAAGAGTGTTTCTGTTTTTTTTTCTGTTTCTGTTTAAAGATGGCTGTAGAAGTAAGGAGAAAGCAGACCTCCTGGATATCCATGTGCTAAAGGAAATGTGAAAATCTACAAATTGGGGTCGGGCTCGGCAAAATTAACTCGGGAGTTAACGGAAAGTTTCCCTCAGATTCGTTCCCACATTTCGCTCTCTTCGCACGCTCCTCAAAGTCTGTGAAATAATTACGTTTACATGTCATTCATGCTGCCAGCTCTAGCTGTCAAAGAAACGGCTAGCAAACAGTGAATGACTGGCATTTGTGCAAAGAAACAAACACAAAAAAAACAGACGGTGAGACAATTAACAGGGAGTGAAGAGTAAACAAACACAACCACACTGTAGACTTGTTTTGCAGGGGAAAAAAGGCGAATACTAACTCAATTAAAATTAAATTTTGCCACATTAGATAATAAATCACCAAAAGGGACAATATGAGACTGAAATATTGCAAGGTACATACTTGACACACACACACTCATACAAAAGCATGTCGACGTGTGCCGTGCGTCCAAGACCTGAAGAGTCTGGATGGTCCTCTGAGCGGCAGAGAGCTGGGACAGGGAGGATCAGCCACCGGAGCAGAAGGCAGGGGCAAGCGCTCTGAGGGCCAGGTCTGTCTGGAGATGCTCATTCGGGGCCGGCAGAGGAGCTCAGCAGCGCCGCGCACTGAGACAGCCTTGTCCAGATGGCTGCTGTGTGATTTAGCTGAAACGGGAAGCAGCTGTGGCCAGCGCTGAGCCCCCCTACGCTTGACTAGGACCCAACAGGGGAGGGAGGGCATTTGCATGAGAGGGATAATCTGGCCAACCAACTCTGGCCCTGCCAGAATCCCAGATCTCACTTCCCCTTTCAGCCCTGGACAAAAATACTCCTTCAAGAAGCAGACTAAACCAGAGTGGTGGCTTTAACATGTTCCAACAAGAAGTTTGAAATTACTATTTTTCACACTTTTGCCGGGCTGCGGTTCATTAGTGGAAGACCATAATAGAACATTTACTGCAAACTTCGCAAATGGGAGCGCTGTGTTTACCGGTGTTTCTCAACATGTGCAGATTACATTTGACTGCCTGTCTTGGCATTTCGTCACATGGATTTCACTACTTAGGACTGCAGTTTGATCATGTAAAGATATGTCTCACTAAATGAGCAATGGGGACATTAAGTGCATGTTTGCATGTTCTGCAGAAAGAGAATACTCAGCAGCAGAAATTAACTCATATTATAAAACATATTATGTTCTTTCACTCTCACATGTATCTACCATTCAGACTGAGAATTTTATATTGAATTGTTACAATGTAAACAGTGCTGCAAGCTGGACAATAAGCAAAAAAAGTGTGGTTAAAGAAATCATCATAATTAATAGACATGTGAACAGATTCATATATAGCTAATTAGTGCTAACTAACAGACTACTAAAATGCTACCGTTTCACTCAGCACAAACTTGTTAGATAGTCTGTCTCACACAGCACGCCATAGTATTACTCAGATAACCTATTAAAATACTGTAAAAGGCCACAGCAGCACAGGCAGATCGTAGGAAGTCACTTTAATAACTCAAAGCAGTGGATAAGGCCCAGCAGACCCAGATCATCTCTGGCTGCTTGCATCAATACACCTGTCAATGAATATGACCTCAACCAAAGTCAGACAATCCAGGTGAATTAAAAAGTTCACCCAGCTCACTATTACGAGCAGTAAAACTACCCATAGAGGCCAGGCTGCTTTATTAGCAGGCTGTAAATATGTTCTTTAACATTGTAAAGTTGGACATTATAACACGGGAGTCTTTGTGAACTGATGCTTTTGGAGCCAGCCTCATGTGGCCATTAGTGGAACTGCAGTTTTTGCGGGACTCGATTTTTCCACTCTGGAGACTGCACTGTGGTAAAACAGAGTAAAGAAACCCCCTTTTTCAGTAATAGCCAGCAAACACAGTCTAATTTCATGGTTGGTGGCACAGAATGTTTTTCTTTAAATAAAATATTTGTGACATACAACAGCATGATGTACTCTTTCCTATTAGCCAATCTGAGGGCAGTATGGAATTAGTGGACCCTGCATCAAACAATGCAGATGGTAACTGCACAATACGGATACATTGCAGAAAGAAATGTTGACTAAAACCATTGCATGCTTTCACAAGAACTCTAAATAAATATAGTAATAATTTTACCTGTAATGTTTCTATATTACAAACAACATGAGATTTGATTTCAAATACTGGAATTTTATTCCTATAACGTATTACATTTAAACTTCTACTTGAGCACAGCTTGTGTAGTTCTTCCACAACTGTATATACATGAACACAGGGAAAAAAGCAACACCAAGTGCTTATACTTATTTCTACCTCAGCTTGAATCCGTATTAAGGATAAAATACGCTTTCAAAATGATTCAGTAAAATGACCTTATTTTCTTCCCTGTAAATGTACTGTGTGATGTGTTTGTTTGTGACCACACTGCCCCAGATGTGACCACTTGCTTCACAGCCACAGTCAAATTGAGCTACAAGCTTACACCATATGGCACAGTTTTCAGTCCATACTCAATGGGCTCTATAGATCCCGTCAGCACCAGAGGAATTCTGCGCATCTGTCCTGGTCCAGCTGTGAGGAGTCCCCGCGATCGGAGAAGCCCACCCGTTGGGGGGGAAGGGTGCGTGTGTGACTACTTTCACTGCTGGCTAACTCAACAAAGTTTCTATACAGTGGCCAACAACACAAGTGTGAAATATTTATCAGGGACCTGACAAAAAAGATGAAAAATAAATGAAAGCCCCGTTTTCATGGTCTTCCAGATTCTCAAAGATTTCTTGATGAAATTTACATGAGATTTTGTTTCATGTGTGCACAATCTCTAATGGCCCCCTACAGTGGGAGTGCATGTGTGACCAGTGAGGCATTTAACTTGAAAAACATAACGTTAAAAATCCTCACACCGCTTGCGTGAGGGACGTCTTCACTGAGAAAACAGTTGCAAACACTTTGACCGGGCACAAACTCCATGGATCAGAACTAACACAGAGGCCCTGCAAAAGGGATGTATTGCAGTAACACTGCTGTCTTAATCACTAACAGGAAGACAGGCAAACTTTTTCTTTTTTTTCACTTTTTAAACACAAGACCCAGGATACTCTCCGTGTTGCCCAACTTCCGCGGATATGATGAACACATCCAGCCTCAGGAACATTTCAGGACAGTGAGACTTCAGGCAAACCATGGTTGTGGTGCTCGAACGTGATCACACTGCCCTCTGTGGATCGCATGGGATCGGATATGTCACCACAGCCTAGAGATAAACTTATTGCTTACTGTCACACTCTGAGACAAAAACTTGTGGAGATGTGTGTGTGTGTGATATATACATTTATTAGGGACAAAAACAATTCTGACCATGCAGTTAACTGAAAAAGACCAAACAGATGACAAACATTAAGTCATAATTCGACTGTGAATGTCTATCCTTGATGTGAAATACTAGATGGAATTTAACTGGAAAATGGTTTATGTATAATACACACTACCTAACACCGGATCACAAAGCAACAGAACAAAATCAGCCTGACCGGCACAAACACCTGAAAATGACCAAAAAGCTGAACGCAGATGGCAAATTCTCTCAGTACAAAGTGGGAACGAGGTAAGGTTTTCTTCATTTTTTCTTCATGTTACGACACCCTGACCTTTACAAGTAGTGTTGAAAAACCTCAAAACAACGGACCACTAGCACAGAGACTAACACATTACACTTACACTCATAAAAGAGGCACCTGTTCACCTGTGCAATCCAATATGACTGGACTAAGCTGATACAGAGGCTTAAAATAACTATTTAACTGGTAGCCAATAAAAAGGTCATTTTCTCTAATTCTGTTTTCCTTGTCATTTATGGAAGCCCTGTTTTTCGTAGGCAAACAAATAAAACTGAATTCAGCTCTTCATCACACAGATAAGGCCAACTTCCCATCATAGGGATATTTGGCAATATATGGGGAAAAAACAGAAAGACTGCATTAAAGAGACCCGTCTTATAGTGTTCAGCTTTTTCATGAGACTGTCATTCTTCGTTTTTAGTACTGGGTCCTCCCACTTTGTCGGGTTTGTGCAGAACAAAGAAAGCATTTAACGTCTTTACATTTTCCATTTCTTTCAACACCCAGAACCTGAACGGAGACAAAGAAAAGTTTAACGCCCACATCCAAAGGTTTTATTCCACTCTTCATACAGCTCCAAGTCCTTTGATGACACACTGGGACGTACAGTCTTCAGGGCTTCGTGGAAGTCACTGTAGATGATGGGTCGCACCTGATCCGCGGTGATGGTGGCGATGTCACTGAGCTGGATGCTGCGTATGGGCCCCAGTGCTGCCTCTCGACACAGCTGGGTCATATCGGCTCCGGAGAAGCCCTCCGTGGCTGTCACCACCCTCTCCACCTCGCTTTCTCCCAGCTGGTTTTTCTCCTGAGCCATGAGGTTTGTCACTATCTGGCGTCGGGCAGTCGCTTCGGGCAGGGGGATGTATAACCGCTTCGCCAGGCGTCGTCGTGCTGCCTCGTCGATCTCCTGGGGCCGGTTGGTGGCACCCACCACCAGGATTCGGTCCTCTGCTGCAGTGGCCGCTCCATCTAGCTGGACCAGAAACTCTGTTTTTATCCTGCGCGAGGAGTCGTGCTCACCGTCCGTCCGCTGGGACAGCAGGGAGTCGATTTCATCGATGAAAATGACAGCAGGCTGGTGGCAGCGGGCAATGGCAAACAGAGCTCGCACCATTTTCTCTCCTTCACCCACCCACTTGGATGTGAGTGATGAGGCGCTGATGCTAAAGAAAGTGGCACCTGATTGACAGGCAATACATTTACCTATCAGAGTTTTTCCAGTTCCCGGCGGTCCAAACAGCAGGATGCCTTTGGGTGGGCCGCGGAGTCCAGTAAAGATGTCAGGTCGCAGCA